CACCCAGGCGCCCCCTAAACTCATTTCTTAAACTCTGTTTTGAAAGCTTAGAAGCAGGATTCTCACTAAGATTTCTGCCTCTGCCAGTTTGAGGTTTTCTCTGTAGCAGTTTACAAATAATTAAATTATGGAAATACTAGAAAACAGGGTACTTTCTCAGAGCAGTGTTGCAGGGTGCGTCACATGGAAGGAAAAGATGAATTAGAAAGTGACCGTGGTTCGGATGTACACATTATTTATAGATAAGCATTAATCTCATTCCATCGGAAGCAGCTGCTGTAGCCCTTCCCAAGTTTTCTGAGGAGGAGCTTAGTAGAATGCAGTAATTTTCCATTCAAAACTCATGTATCAGATGTGTTCATATGTATTAAATCATTGTCCTAGGATGATAAATTTAATTCCATTGTTTGTAATGACCGAATCTTGAGTTACTGCAAAATTTTTGTTTTAGAAAGTGTCCATTTGGCTAGAAGACAATTATGATGGTAAATTTAGAAACGTCATTTTGACAAATGATGAAACAAGTTCTTGTTTTTTTCTTTAAATTCAAGTGATTGTTAGATCCTTTAAACTTGGAATGCTTTGGGATTATGAAAAGCAGTTTCAGCTGAAATGAAGCAGCTGTAAGTCTGACTGTATGTACATTTTGGCGGGAAAGATTAGAGATTAGAAAATGGCTCTCATTCTTGCTCATCATATGAACTTAAGAGTTATTTAGAAATAACACGGAGGACATTGGGAGATGGAGAGGGTAAGTGAGTTGGGGGAAATCAGGAGGAGACTGAGAAACAAATTGAGGGTTTTGGAGGGAAGGGGGGTGGGAAGAAAGCCTGGTGGTGGGTATTAAGGAGGGCACGGATTGCATGGAGCACTGGGTGTGGTGCATAAACAATGAATTTTGGAACACTGAAAAAAATTTATAAATAAATAAAAAGTTATTTAACTTAGGGCACTTGGGTGGCTCAGTTCGGCTCAGGTCATGACTGCGCCGCTCTGCCTACTTGTGCTCTATCTCTGTCAAATAAATAAAATCTTAAAAAAAAAAAGTTACTTAACTTTTCTATTGTTATTTGTACATTGAGTACAAATTTTTGGTTTACATACAAAAATGTGAAGATTAAGAAAATGAAAACTTAGAAATAAATGACTGACTTATTGACCCATTTTGTGCAGAAATGAGGTGGTTAGCACTGGAGGACCCCATGGCAGTGCTCTCTTAGCAGCCTGCCTGTCATTGCAATTTATAATGTACTTATGTAACAGCCCTCATCTTCTCAAAATAATATGGAAAAACCTGAAGGGCAGGAGCTCTGTCTTCTTCTGGTACAGAGTGGGTACTTAGTAAATACTGAACCAAGTAAATATTGAACTAATTCCTGCTCCCCAAGTTGGAATTCTGGATGCCTCCTTTTCTCCCCCAGACAGTTTTTATTGGACTTCTGGCTTCTATAATATTTTTAGTATAATACTAATTTCAGATATATTGTATTTCCAAATTCATTTGTGGGTGATGGGTGAAGGAAGAATGTCATAGACTAACCAGGTGTCATAATTTTATAATTTTTTTTTTTATTTGACAGATCACAAGCAGGCAGAGAGGCCAGGTGTCATAATTTTAACCACAGATAATGACTTCAGTGGTTTCTTTTAAAATCCATTAGAAGTTTAGATAACCAATGTATATGTCTATTTTTGGTACTCAGTCTGGTTATAATTTAGAGACTGTCCATTCAAGCTTCTGAGCATTCAGGGTACATTCCAAGATAGAGGAAGCCTCTGCATTAGGAAAACCGTGTGATAAAGAGAATCCACGTGGATTCAGGTGCAAATGTGATCAGGCGGTTCTGTGATTTCTGGTGTAGAATGGAGGTGGGGAGTGACAGAAACGAACAGCTCAGGGATCTCTAGTTTAAATAAAGTTTCAGCCTCTCTCTCAACAGATCTCTGTTGTTGTTAACAGCCCTTTTTCTCTAAGAATATCAGGGATTTTTTTTCCCCTTCTCTGTGCTAATGAAATGGTCACCAAATAATAAAATGGTAAAACAGTGCACATTTTTAGACCATGAGATCAGCACAGTCCCTGAGTAATTTGTAGGTTGTACCATTAGCCCTGCAGACGTTTTCCTTTTCATGCCTTTCTCCCCACATCCCTGCCTTCCAATTAAAGAAGACTAACATGTGTATGTTTTATTTATGGAGAAGTTTTTCTCAATTTTTATTTCTGATAATCTAAGGTTATCTTGTAGTTTAGCTTTTCAGGATATCTCCAGTTAGTTCATAGTTTGTGAACAAGTCCTTAAAAGGAAATGACTCTCTCTCATTCTTAAAATGTTCATACAACACATTCCTTCTGTTTAAAGCCAGGGAAGGATGGCCATACATGCGTCTGTGGTACCCTGTGTAAGAAGCAGGAACATGGGTGTGATGGGGCTGAGTGTGTGCTTTCTGCATGTGTATATGGTAGAAGGTGGGACTCTGGGTGAGTGCGTGCGTTTTGCGTGCTTTTCCACAGGTCTCGGCCACCTTTGCAGCCAGTCTGGTCAGCAGCCCGGCCATTGGAGCCTACCTTTCAGCCAGTTACGGAGACAGCCTTGTTGTGCTGGTGGCCACAGTGGTGGCTCTTCTGGACATCTGTTTCATCTTACTGGCTGTTCCAGAATCTCTGCCGGAGAAAATGAGACCGCTTTCCTGGGGAGCTAAGATTTCTTGGAAACAAGCCGACCCGTTTGCGGTAAATAATCCATTTCTTTCTCCAGTAAAAATAGAAAAAAAAATTAATCGCCCATAAGGCACTGAAGTTGTCTATGCACCCAGGAATATGTAGGATTCATATGTCTTTCCTTTTTAAAATGTTTTTATTAGGAAGAGAGGGATGGGCAAAAGGAAAATGAGAGAGAGAGTCTCGTGTGTTCCATGCCCAGCATGGAGCTCAACTTGGTGTTCAATCTCCTGAGTCAGACACTTAACCAACTAAGCTACCCAGGTGCCCCTAGAATTTATTTTTAAGTCAAGCATGTGGTAGGTACCCTAAGAAAAGAGAGGAAAAAATGTCTGCTTAATCCCTATGAATGTAGGGAAGATGTTTTTTCTTACTGCATGGTTGTTTTCACTTTTTTTTTTGGTAAACAAAATGAAGGTGGCTGTTTGAATTGTTCATTTTCATTCACTTAAATTCAGAAAAGATGAATAGATTTGGTCTGCCTAAAGTAATTATTTTCTAGGTTGTTAATATACATCCACTTTGACCAGAGGCTTTGAACCTGTATTGTGCAGGTTGAACGGATTCTTTGTTTTCTGTAACTTCTTAAAAATGTTGGCTTTTTTGGAGGGGGGGGATCCTATTAACAAATAGAAGAAGTACTGAGAAGAATCCTATCCCTCCCTTTTTCCTACCTCATCTGACTTGAAATTGTTCTTGAAGAAAATATGTGCAGGAAAAAAACAGAGATTTGACTGCGGTTTTTAATCATCCAAATTGACTTTTTAGGAAAAATATGTAAAAAGGAAAATAACTCATCAAATTCTTTTCTGAAAAGGTCCCTCAGGTCCCAACCTGAGGACCCTGCTCATTTTGTTTGTGCTGTGATACCAGACATGGAGAAGAAGGTGCTTGGAGAACGAACCCGGGTGTGGACCTGGGCTCCCGTCAGGCCTCCCACTTTCTTGTCACGTAGTGATCAAGTTACGCGTGGCAACTCCTCTGTGAAGTAGGAGTACTCTGCTGCCCCAGTACTCTGCTGCCCGAGTACTCCTCCAGGGCTGCCGCAGGGCGTACTGGGAATGTATGTAAATGAACCAGTCACATGTCTGTGCAGCAGGTCTCCACAGACATGAACCGTTTTGCTATTCATCATATGAAGGTTACAGTTACGGTGACACTAGAATCCAGTGAAGCACTCTCCAGTACTTAGCAACACACCTTTTGATCTTAGCAACAATTCTGTGTAAAAAGGAATGTAAGAAGGACTTTTAGACAAAGTTGTAACATTCAAAAGTTACTGCTCAGAGACTCTTGTTGTCACTGACCCGCATGGTGGGAGCATATTTATTTGTCGACCAGTTTTACAGGAAAATTGAGTATTAACATCTTAAAGAATATAGTAAATTTATATATTATAAAAACCCTGAACCGTTTATGGATTTAAAAGTGTTATATTATGAATGAAGGAGAGAGATGAGATTTTCTTAAATGGTTCCGAAGCAGTGTTTTTTCAGCGTCTGTTTATAGGGTGTGAACCATTATGGTTAACAAAGATGAACAAGTATTTGTGGGGTTTTTTGTTTTGGTTTTAAGCTATAATATTTCAAACATAAAACTTTGAAATTAGAGGACTTGTAACCATAGAGTTAATGTTTACCTACTTTTGTAGTCCCTTCAACTTTTATAATCCACCGTAATAAAACAAAACAATGAAGCCCATGTCCTGGAATGCCAGTGACTCTAGTGTGGCCGACTGTTTATGTGTTTCTCTTTCTGCTTATTCCTAGTCACTGAAGAAGGTTGGAAAAGATTCTACTGTCTTATTAATTTGCATCACCGTATTTCTTTCATACCTTCCTGAGGCTGGACAGTATTCAAGTTTTTTTCTCTATCTCAGACAGGTGGGTAGCATGTGCCTAGTAGGTTTAGAACATGAAGAAAACCAAAGGTTAGGATGTAAAACTATTTTGGGGAAATAGTTACAGAAATAGTTTACAGAAAAAGCGTGGACTTGCTTCCAGTATAGTAAGTGTAGGCCGTGACATATAATTAGCAGTTGAGGTTGGGCGCCTGGGTGGCTCAGTGGGTTAAAGCCGCTGCCTTTGGCTCAGGTCATGATCTCAGGGTCCTGGGATCGAGTCCCGCATCGGGCTTTCTGCTCAGCAGAGAGCCTGCTTCCCTCTCTCTCTCTCTCTCTGCCTGCCCCTCTGCCTACTTGTGATCTCTGTCTGTCAAATAAATAAATAAAATCTTAAAAAAAAAATAATTAGCAGTGAGGAAACTTTAATATGATATTTTAAAATACTATAAAGTGTTTACTCTTGAAAAAAATTTCCCTGAGAATTAGCATAAGGAAAATCTATCATAATGTTTTAAATCTTCATTAAATTTCAGAGAGAGGGCAAGTTTGACCTGACCTGACCTGGGCCACCTTCAGTAGAGGCCGTGTAACTGCTGCTGCAGGTGTCCAGGGGGCTCACAAGCAAGAATCAAAATCATCCCTCCCTGATCTTTTTCTCTTTAAAAGTTTAAACTCTCCCTTGTCCCCCAAAAAGGCAGTTGACTTAAGGCAATTTAAAAACAATCTCCCTTTCCAACTTTTTAAAATTTCAGTTCTCTGGGATTGTGCAGACAGGAGTTGCCTTCCATTAGCAATCCTGCCCTTGTCTTTACTGATTTCCCTGAAGTCTTACTAGGGGCTCCCTCCACATGGCAGAGCAGGCCTCCTCCTAAGATAAATTCCTCTACTTACGGCGATATTTTAAATTGAAACTTGTTAAATTCACCATTCTCACAGTTTTCGTGAAAATGTGAGACTATTATTTTATATGGTGGCATACAAGGAAAACTGTTTTTCAACCAGTTCTTTTCAGTTTGTTCATTCTGAGTGGGCAGATGCTAGAGATTTAGTGGGAGGACTGGTGAAATAGCCTGTTTAATGTAGAAAATTAATCTGCATTTCTAATTAAATTATGCATTAAATTAACTGCATTTAAATGTAGGAAAAATGGGAAAGTTGAGGTGAAAAAATCTTCTCATTCCTTCAGAAAAAAACAATTAGAGTTATTTTTTCTACCCTTTATTTCTATACATATTGCTTATGTCACTACCACCAACACTGAACAGTAAATCAGAATCATTTTCTGTTATTTTGTATTTGTGCGTGCTTTTAAGAGCAGTTCACACACACACATTTGAGTTAAAATTGCATTAGGCATTTCTAAATCATATATCTGATAAGGAACCTGTATCAAGTATTAACTTTTATAAATGAATAAAAGGACAACCCAATTGAAAAATTTCAAAAAAAGATTGAATAGATACTTGTCCAAGGAAGAGTCACAAATGGCGAATAAGGACATGAAAAGATGCTTAACATTAGCCACCAAAGAAGTGCAAATCAAAACGAGATACCACTTCACACCTGCTGCAGTCAGACAGACAGAAGGTATGGTGAAACGCAAACTCACACAGGCTGGTAGGAACATAAGATGGGGTGGAAGAGAGTCTGGTGGTCCCTCAAGGTGTTCAACATAAGGTTTCTAGCGAGACTGTTCCTACGTATGTAGCCAAGAGAAATGAAAACATAGGTCTAAGGAGAAACTTTTATACAAATATTTATAATAGCCAAAAAGCAGAAATAGTTGATGGAATGTATTGACAAATGGCGGCATATCTGTATGGCGGGATGTTACTGTTCGGCAGTGAGCAGCAGTAAAGCGCTGTACCTGCAGCAGCGTGGACGCCCTGGGAAAATACTGTGCTGAATCAGATACCAGGACCATATGTGGCTTTCTTTTACATGAAAGGCTCAGAAAAAACAAACCCAGAGACAGGAAGTGTATCACTGGCTGGACAAGGGACAGGCTGGGGGAATGGGACTCGTGATGGGGCAGGAGGACTGATGACGTCTTCTACAGTTGACTCTGGTGGTGGCCGGCCAACTCTCTTGAGCATTCTCAAGCCACTGGATTGTATACTTCTGATGGGGGAAGTGTAGGATACTTAAGTCCTGTCTTGATAAAGTTGCTTTAAATGTATGTTTATACTTAGATTTACAAATACAGGCTGAGAAATAATCCCTAAATAAGGCTACTTTCCAGGTTCCTTTTTTTTTTTTAGTTGCATTTAATTAGTGAGTAATAGGCCTTTGCTTGTTGGCAGCACTGACCGGGGAACCTGAGATTCTAGCTCTTTTATTACCTAGTTGTGTGACTGGAAGCAAGATAATCATTTATTAAATAATAGAATGCATACAATAATTTTTAATTCCTTTTCCTGATCTTTACAGGATTTTAGTAGAGGACAAAAATATTTGACTTTTTTAAAACCTGGTATTTAAAACCTAAAGTTTTAGGCCTGTCAGAGCTTCTGTTAAGGTTAAGAGGCTTAGAAATTATTGCCAGCTCACTTCAATTGCTTCTAGAATCACCATGGAAGCTTTTTAAAACATGCCTGTGCCTGGGCCCAGAGAGTCTGATTTAACTGGTCTCAAATGGGTTACAGCATTTCATTGCCTACCCTCCTCCTCTTCTCTGTTGCCCACGTGATTTAAATGGGCAGCCGAGGTTGAGAGCCACGGACTTGGCTACTGAGCAGATATATCTATTGGGAGGAGCAAAAGTCACATCATTTTCTTCATGTTCTTTCTAGTGTTTGATGATAATATATTTGTCTCATATTATTTTTATAGTATCTGTATTACAAAAGTGTTTCCTTTCCTTTTCCACAGGTCATAGGTTTTGGATCTGTTAAGATTGCAGCATTCATAGCTATGGTAGGCATTCTGTCTATTGTGGCTCAGGTGAGTGTCATTTCAGCCATTTTTTCTTTATCATTTTTATCTGAAAATAACTGGATTTATAGGAAATTGCAAAGAAATGTTCATGGGGAGCCCCTACACCCCTCTGCCATTAACCCCCTCCTCCCCTGCCATGCTAACATCTCTTGTATCTGTGGTACAACATCAGACCCAGTCAACAGGCATCGATACAGTCTACAGAATCCTGATCCATGATGGATCCATGATCCATGATCCCTGAGATCATGACCTGCGCTGAAATCAAGAGGAGGATGCTCTGGGGCGCCTGGGTGGCTCAGTGGGTTAAAGCCTCTGCCTTCGGCTCAGGTCATGATCCCGGGGTCCTGGGATCGAGCCCCACGTCGGGCTCTCTGCTCAGCAGGGAACCTGCTTACCTCTCTCTCTCTGCATGCCTTTCTGCCTGTGACCTCTCTCTGTCAAATAAATAAATAAAAATTTAAAAAAAAAAAAAAAAAGGACGCTCAACCGACTGAGCCACCCAGGCACCCCAGAACCATCATTTTTAATAGGATGTTGAAATTGTAGTTTAGGAGGAATTTAATACAACTTTTCATTAGTTTTTAGGATACCTGTCACCTCTACTAGTCAATTCAGCAAGTAACAGCTTGCTTTTACAGCCACCAATCCTCTAACTCTAGATACTGCAAAATAAGCTTAAAATATAGAAACACTTTTTTGGTTAATGAGGAAAGTTTAGTAGCAGGAAAACAAAAATGAAATCAGTAACTCTTCCAAACTCTGCTATCCCCAGGACTGAAGAGATGTGGTAAATGAGTGCATTAGAATATATGAAATGAGTAAACATTAAAATCTCCCCATCTATTTTAAGTAAAAGGACCTCAAAAGGCAGGATATATGACCTTTGAATGAACTCACGGACGTGCCTGGGTGTGTTCACAGTGTCACATGGAGGTGCCTAGAGGTCCTTCCCTGAAATGGCTTCATGCGGCTCTGTAGCGTGGGGGCCAGCAGTGCGCTCTTCAGGGAGAGACCAGAAGGCTGTGAAACTGTGTTGCCCAAACATCGGAGCTGACAAGGCTCAAAGGAGTGCAGTAAGGCAAAAAAAAAAGCCTATTTTGTCAGTGAATGCAAATTATGTTGAGCTTGCAAGTTGCTTATGATTCTGGTTTATATTTATAGCAACTCTGGCTATTGAGTTAGTCCAGACTCCTCTTTGATCCTCTGCCTTTACAATCTGAGCTAGTCGTTTTTAGTAGAGCATTTGTTAAAGTCAGATTTGCCTTAGTCCAGCTTTCTGACACTGCTAACTTCCCGCAGAATCCCGCGTATTCTGTGATGCGTCCAGTCGGGGTTCGCTCTTCCCTGGTGGTGAAGCGACTGGCGTTTCTCCAAGGAGTCCGCGTCCTGTCCTTCTCAGTCACGATAATTGGTGAACAGCTATCGTGACCTTTTGGAAAGTGCTAGCAAAGCATCAGATAAGCAGGCTTTGGTGAGGGGCTGAAGGCCCGGAGGCCCCACAGCTCAACTCGAGCTCTGTCAGTGCTGCGTGGCTTCCCCACACTTGGGCCAGGCTGTGCACCCGTAGCGGCCTGTCAGGCTGGCATCAGAGCCGTGACTCATGGCTTCTCAGGATTATCCCCTTTGTTTTCACAGACCGTCTTTCTTACCATCTTGATGAGATCATTAGGGAATAAGAATACTGTCCTCCTGGGCTTGGGCTTCCAGATGTTCCAGTTAGCCTGGTATGGTTTTGGATCTCAGGCCTGGTAAGCCTCTCCTTTGGATCCTCATAAACTAATAGAAGCATCTTTTAGAGGAACTCGAGTTGCCTGAACGTGAATGGGAGGGAAGCAAGGATTATTTTGCCGGTTGATGTACTCGACATTTCAAAAAGGGTGTTTAGACTTAATTTGCAGAAGGATGGAGCTAAGAGATCTCACATTATTTGTTGAGACTGTCTTTGCCTCAGCAGTGAAGTTCTCATTTAATTGCAGGTGTACTTTTTAAACACATTTGTCAATTTTTAGTGACCTCACATAGTCCACAAGAAGACAAGGAAAAATGACTGGTTATAGTGGGGTTCACTGCCATAATTAACTGAGTGACTCTGGGTAGTGACATAACCTTTATAACCTAGGACATCGGAGTTAGACGAACACGAAGATCTCCTCCAAAACCAGGTGTGCCCTGAGGCGGTTACTGCTGCCCACACGCTAGATGCCCACAGACAGCAAGTTCAGAATAAGCCCTCAGGAGGAAGAAATGTATGTGCCTGCTTACCGCAGGCCTGATTTTCTGTGTTGGGTTTACGTACGAGAGTTGATCCTCACTTTGCTCCTATAAATTGATGACGTAACGGAAGAGGAGCTAGAAATGCGCTCAGTGGTTCAGTGGTTGATGCTTCGTGTTCTTGAAGATTCCGGTCACGCGAACTTTGGTACTTCAGTAGCTGATTTGGTCAGACTTGTTCTATGTTCAAAAGATTTTGTTGACCTGCAGGGTTTTTTCTCTTCAGTAAGGATGTGCACACTAGCCTCCCCGAGGAGATCTGTGCAGACAGGTTTTCAGCCCCATTAGGACCTCACTTTGCTCACACTCATACTTTCTACTTCAGTTCCTTTCATAGTGACCCTGAACTTCAGGTCTCTGTTGTTTCCGTTGGTGGCACGTGACACTTGCTTGAGGGGTAGCAAACCGGGCAGCCCGAGGGCAGTGTGAAGGTGAGAATTACAGACAGAAAAGTGGAATATCACTGAGGGAGATGTGGTATCTATAGAAACAAATCTTTCTGAACTTCACTGAACTTCTACATTTAAAGATGGTAATGGGCAAACGAGGAAGAACAGATTTCGAAGGCGGGAACGTGAAATAATGAAATCTTCCCAGCTGTGAAGTAATCACTATTAACAGTATGATGTAGGACATTCCAGGTTGAAAAAAAAAAAATCCATTTTTTCTTAAAGAGGGAAAAATAAATACTACCCAACAGGAGAAAACTTTACTGGACTGTACTCTGTAAGCTCCTCAGGGCTGGCGCTGCCGCCTGACTGTGGCCGCTCCTGTCATTGCAGGATGATGTGGGCAGCAGGGACGGTAGCCGCCATGTCCAGCATCACATTTCCAGCAGTCAGCGCCCTTGTCTCTCGGAATGCAGAGTCCGATCAGCAAGGTGAGGTCACTGTACTCGTGCTGTTTTCCTCCTTCAGCTAAGATATACCTGAAGTAAGAGAGGCTCCGAGCCTCTCTTCATGTCACAGAGCTGGTGACAGCCATGTGGTCCCTTCTTGGCAATTGTACCTTTCTATTTTCCCTCCTGCTTTGATCCTACATTCCTTAAAATCTGGACTAAGTGGTTAAGAATACTAAGGATTAGAAATAGAACTGTCCCCGCCCCCAGAAAGAACTATCCATTTTCTCCTGTCAGTTTTGAGTCCTCGTGTGTGTGTGTGTGTGTGTGTGTGTGTCCACCAGAATGAACTGATCATTTTAAAGATGTCAAATAATGACAGACTGGACAGTAAAGCAAGGAGTTCTTTATTTAAGCACCATAATCACCAACATTTCTTTAAATTCAAAATCAAAGTTCATTAGCTTAAATTAGGAAATGATTTTTTGAGGGGGTAAAAATATGTGTACTTACTGTTAAATGCATAGTGAGAAGCACAATTAAAATGGAGACAACCATGTGGAGAATAGCACTCTACCATCTGGACTCTTCATCCTTCTAGAACCTCTGGCTTCTATCAGGCAGTTCCTGCTGCCAGAATTAATCCTTTCCTTCTCCATCTGTTAATGGTTCACCTAAGTAGTCAGGAAGTAGTAAATTTTATAAGGAAAACCTTTTAAATGCATTAGAGCCCTTTAAAAAGTTTTAATAAAGAACTAGATTGAAAGATTAATTCATTGCACTACTTTGCCACATCAAAAATTAGCCATCTTACTCGTACCCACGTGTAAAGTGTCACTTGAAGACTATAGAATCTATGTGTCACCCTTTGCGAACTCCCTGGGCTGTGTCCTTGGGGCGTGTTACGTCAGAAGAAGCCAGCCCGCTGGGGAGGATGGGCACTGCCGTCACGTGTGACAGGTACCATCTGGTCTTTCATGACATGAATTCTGTTTGGCTGTTATTATGCGTATATGTTTTAATGCAGATGTTCCTAAATGTCAGTGTACAACATTACTGGAACATATTAAGTTGAATCATATTTGAACAGTTTGACTTACGGAAACATCCATTTTCATGATTCTAGCTACTATTTTATCTGCTACATTAGAAACCAGAGATATCTAGAAGTTGGCACTTCTGGGATTTTTCAGTGCAGGTCACCATGAGCAGCAGAGTCTGTGTGAACATGCTGGGAATACACAACTTTAGGACTGCTGTGGACTCACACACAGGGCTCCAGGAGACGAAGGGCAGATTTTTGCTGTAAAAGGACTGTTAGATGAGTAAAGGAGGAAAAATCTCATTCCACAGAAAAGTGGAAATTGCCTATAAATGGAGAATTTAAAGGGTTTTTTATTTATTTTTCCTCATTTATAGGAAGGATCTAGCTGTTATGGGGGGAATTCAGCCCCAAAAGAGATTTCACAAACATCACAGTCATTTCATCTCCATATAGATCTTAGGGCAGAGAGTTAGGACATTAAAGGACATAGTAAAACCAGTAACACATTTGTGCACCAAATGAAACTATGATGGGCGAAGTCCCTAATCGTGAGATACTCTTACGAGAAGACTGGCTCCCTTCTCTTCGTTCTGACGCAGGCGTTGCCCAGGGGATCATAACTGGAATAAGAGGGCTGTGTAACGGCCTGGGCCCGGCGCTGTACGGCTTCATATTCTACATGTTCCACGTGGAACTGACGGAGTTGGAACCGGAACTGAGTTCTGACAACGCTGCCCTGCAGGTAATTTGGTGATAAGTCTAGTTTTATAACCTTTATGTCTGATGGTAGCAAAATCTGAACTTAAATTTGGAGAATGTTCTTGTTCGTACAGTGTTTCTGTTGTATGTGCTACGCTCAGTGCTTCCTGGGACTGAGAAAGGATCAGTTCAGTGATGTAGTATCTTCCCCAAAAGCTGTGTCTTAATTTTGTTCTGAGTCCATTTTTACCTACACAAGTGCTCCGATCAGAACGCTGTCCGCCCGCGAAGGCCAGCGAGGCCAAGTCAAATGCGGGCTGACCTAATCCCCGCCAGGAATTGAGCCAGAGCGCCGTTCTGTGTACTTCCCAGGCGTTCCTGCAGTGGACATTTCTGTATAAAACGGTCCGTAGTGTTCATGAACAGCGCGCATGCTGTGAGGTCCTAGGGTGGGATTTGGAGACCCGCAGCTGCCACTTAAAAGCTGTTAAGAACTGGCGCAAAGAACAATGGTTAGTTGCCCTCTGTCGTGTTCTAAACACAGGCTCTCTCAGAATTTGCCTTCAGCCTTAATAAAACATTTGCTTATGAGAAAATGATTTACTTTTTGATGGTTTGGGGGAGGCCAGGGCTAATTTTGGATTGAAGACCAACCAAACGCTTTATCTCTGTTTCCCCTGCCCCTCAGGGAGCTGTCATCCCAGGCCCACCGTTTTTGTTTGGGGCGTGTATAGTTCTTATGTCCTTCCTGGTTGCCTTATTCATCCCTGAATACCGCAAAGGCAGTGGAACCCAAAAACACAGCAACAGCATCAGCGGCAGCCTGACGAACCCCCCCGGGCGGGGCAGTGACGAGGACATCGAGCCACTGCTGCAAGACAGCAGCATCTGGGAGCTCTCTTCCTTCGAGGAGGCTGGGAATCAGTGCACTGAGCTGTGAACTTGCCAGAAAGGGGGATTCTGTGGACGCCTTCTCTGAGAGCCGCGGGAGCCACACCACACGGAGACTTCATGGTGCTGGAGGGGAGATGCTAGTGGCGTCCTTCAGGGACAGGTTTGAGAAGTGACCCTCTCCATCCCTTTGCCCCCCCCCGCCCCCACTTCTTTTCCTTTTCTTCTTTTTGTGGTATATTAGAACAAGATCTAAAGTACTTTCCTGCAAATTTTGCGATCTTCAAAGTCATCTGGAATCCACACTTTGAAACTAAGAACGATTTCATATCTTGGTGGGATGGCTTTCCTTGAGTAACTCTGGATGGCAGTTCCTCCGTCTCCCTTTCAGTGGAAGGCGCAGGGTGGGGCTGGACTGCCGTCTCAGGCAAGATCTGAGCTAACAAGTCCCTGCTTGTTTTCTTCCTTCCTTTTCTTCTTTCCTTCCTTCTTTCTCTGATCTGTGCCCATTCAGCCCACGGGTGTTTCCGAGTGGCTGCTCTAAGAGTCACTCCGTATCAGGGATCTATTGCCTTTGTTCAAAGGTCAACAGAAACTCGAGTCTTACTCTCCTCCTCTCTACTTCCTATTCTTGGCTAGAATGAAATTCAGCATCGACACCTCCAGACATTAATACTGATCAGTGATAACCTTTATTAGGTAAAGGGAGATTTTCTTAAAAATTTAAATTATGAAGAACTAGCAACTCAGACCTTAAACCTGGTGTTTTGGTCAGATCCAAGGTGATTTTACGGAAGAAAAACACACAGCAAGTATTTTGGTGGTGACACACAATGTGAAGGGAGTTTCTGAGACAGTTTTCAGTAAGAGAAATATTCCTATGTGAGAACGAGAATTAGTGACTGGATACCAGCGGAGTTTATATCCAAGTTCAGGCTCACAGAACACATGACAACCGTCTCGCTCCTTGCTGCATCTTGTCTTCTCCGTTTTCTCGTTCATCTCACTCCTGCCTTAACTGCTCTGTTGTATGCGCCTGTTTTGCAGTCAGGTTTTTATTTCCATCTGTTTGTCTGACTTTTGAATTTCATGGGAATATGCACATCAGATTCTTTTCTAAAATATGGTGGTTTAAGAAGCTCAGTTTAACAAGTGTCTTGCTAATTTTTTGAGATGTTTTATGGACAGAAAACTTTACAGATTTATATGTATTTTGCTGCACCAGTAAATGGACCATTACCTAGGGCCCACCCACTTTAACAGAGCACTCCCCTGAAAGTTTTATAGGTATGAAATATATATGTAGATATTTGTAAGGAGTTTTAAATTTTTTTTTGATGGGGTGCTGTGTAAATCTTGTATTTATAAATGTAATGAAGGTGTTGAAAGAAAAATATATATACAACTTTTATAAAAGGATTGTGTACTGACTGAATACATTTAAAAGAAAATATATTTTGAAACCTGTTCTGCTATGAACAGAGATAACCTATCTTTTTACTATGCTATTGGTTTTTAAGTTAAGCTTCCTAATGCATAATAAATTTGCAATGGATACTTTTATGTCTTTTATGTTTCTTTAAAGGAAATAGTACCATTGATATTTGGGTTCTCTTTTGGGTGGGTATCAACTACATTCTTAATCTTTAAGCTAATGCAAAAAAGGGTATATTTTCAAAAAATTTTGATTTTTAGAAGACTCCCTTCAAAAACAAATCGTACCTTTTTAATTTAAAATTGTTAAAAGGGAAAAAAAATTTTAAAAGAGACACAAATTTGTACACTCATTTATTGGCATTATTCACAATAGCCAAAAGGTGGAAGCAACCCGAATGTTCGCTGTTGAATGAACAGATAAAGGAAATGTGGCATTTGGATACAATGAAATCCTCAGCCTAAGAAAGGAAGCAAATTCTGGCTCACGCCACAACATGGAGGAGCACTGAAGACATCCTAAGTGAAGTAAGCCAGTCACAAAAGGACATACACAGTGTGGTTCCACTTTAGTCAAATTCAGACAGACAAAGTAGAACAGTGGATGCCAGAATGGGGAGGGTTTCAGTTTTGCAAGATGGACGTGGTGAGGATGGTTGCATGAAGCTATGAATGTACTCAGTGCCACTGAACTGAAAAAAAATGGTCAACTTTATGTGATGTGTATTTTGCCACAATTTTTAAAGAATGCTCTCAGGACATCCTTACTCCTGCTTACCAAAATTACAGTTTCTTTAACCCAATATTACGAATGTCAAACTGGGATAAAAATCTGGTCATTTTAACCACATTTACAGTTCAGTGGTTTTTAATGTATTCACAAGGTTGCGCAGCTGTTAGGGCTATCTCCAAAACATTCCCCTCATCCCAAAAAAGAAACCCCATATCCAATACCAATCACTACCAATTCTCCTTACTCCATTACCTGGCAACCAGTAATACATTTTCTGTCTCTATGGATTTGCCTGTTTGGGACATTTCATATAAACGAAATACAATTATGTGTGACCTTTTGTGTCCAGCTTCTTAAACACAGCCTGTTTTCAAGATCCGTCCACGTTGAAGCGTGTGTCACACCCTACTCCTCTTTCAGGATGATGAATGTTCTGTCCTACATATGCACCACATTTCTTTTGTTCACTGTATCAATCAAATGTAAATGGATACTTAGCCTGTTTCCATTTTTCAGCTATTATGAATAATGATAGTATGATGATCTTGTCCAAGTTTTATGTGAACGTGCTTCTAGTTCTTAGGTATGTGACAGACTGAAATTGCTGGTTTATATGGTAACTCTGTTTAACCATTTCAGAAACCACCAAAGTCTTTTTCATGGCAGCTGCACATTTTAGGTTCCCATCAGTAATGTAGGAGGCTTCAGTTTCTCCATAGCCTTACCAGCACTTGTTCTCTGTTTTGTCATTTATAGATATTCAGGTTGTTTTAAAGTGTTTTAAAGTGGTACCTCATAGGGGTTTGGATCTCCATTTCCCTGATGACTAGTTACGTTGAGCATCTTTTCGTGTGTTGTTGGCCAGATGTATATTCTCTTTGGAGAAATGTCTATCCAAGTCCATTACCTATTTTTGAATAAGGATGTTGTTTTTTGGGGATGTTGTTGAGTTCTAAGAGTTCTTCATATACTCTGGATACTAGACTCTTGGTGAATATCTTCTCTCCTTCTGTGGGTTGTCTTTTCTCTTACTTGATGATGTCCTTGAAAAGTTTTAATTTGGGGTGCCTTGGTGGCTCAATTGAGCACTGGACCTTGGTTTTGGCTCAGGTCATCCTCTCAGGGTTGTGAAATTAAGCCCCATGTCACGTTACACACTCAGGGGTGGGGGGCGGTGTGTGCTCAAGATTCTCTTTCTCCCCCTCCCGTCTCCTTCTCTAAAATAAAATCTTTTTAAAAAGTTTTAGTTTTGATGAAGTCCAACTTCTCTTTTCAATTTTATTGCCATATCTAAGAATTCTCTACCAAATACAAGGTCACGAAAATTCACCCACACTTCCTAAGTTTTATGCTTTGTCTTTGACCCATCTTGAATTACTTTTTATATGACGTGAGGTAGGATTTCAGTATCCGTCTCTTTCACGTGAATGACTGACTACTCCGTGATCTCCACACCACTTGATGAAGAGATCCTTTCCCCACTGAAGGTGTCGGCAGCGCTGTCAAAACTCTGATGAACAATGCAGCGCGCGTGTGGTGAATTCTGTCCCACCGGCCTGTTCTTCTGCCAGCTCCACATGGCTTCGACAGCCAGGTTCACAGTAGTAAGTTCTGAGATCAGCAAGTGTGAGTCCTCCAGCTTTGTTCTTTAAACGCTGTTTTGGCTATTCAGCGTCTGTTTCATATGAAATTTCAAGTCCGCTTTTCCACTTCCGGCGGGGGAGGCATTCTGACGGGCTGCGCTGAACCTGCGGGCCGCGCTGGGCCGCGCTGCCGTCTGAGCAGTCCTTCAGCCGTTCGAGGCGAGCTCCTGGGCTGGCTGGTGACTCAGACCGTTCGCTGCCGGTGCGCAAATACAGCTGATTATAGTGCGTTGACCGAGTATCCTGGCACCAGTAGTTCTTTTTTTGGGTGGATTCATCAGGGTTTTTTATTTTAGTGTATTTTAGATCACATCCTCTCCAAACACAGAGAGGTTTCTTCCTTTCCCGTTTAGATGTTTTTTAGTTATTTTTGCCTAATTTTCTGGCTAAAACTTCCAGTGCGGAGCAGTGGCTAAAGCAAGCACACTTGTCTTACTCCTGATTAGGGAGAAATCTTCGAGCTCTTCGCCCCCGAGTATGATACTAGCTGGAGGTTTTTCAGAGATTCCCTTTATCGTGTTGTGGGACATTCCCCCTCTCTTCCTGGTCTGTTGGGTGTTGTTTTTTGTTTTCTCTTTTGTAATTAGGAAAGGATGTTAGATTCTGTTAAAGGCTTTTTCTGCACTCAGATGACTGGTTTACTCTTAGGCTGATCCACACTCGCGTTAATTACTAAGATGAATTTCCCACTTCATCATGTTGTTTAACCACTTTGATAGGATGCTGGCTGCAAAGCACTAATTATTTTTCTTGTTGTTTTAGGATTTTTGCATCTATGTCCTTAGGGATAGTCGTGTTTGCTAGTGATATCTGAGGTAATGCACTCCATGCGGAATGAGATGGGAGAAGTTCCCTTTTCTTTTTTCTCAAAGGGCATAAGAAAGATTGGTACTGACGCATATTTAAACATTCTGGTAGAATGCTACTGTATGAGGGTATCCTACACCAGTTATTTAAACAGAATTTAATGAAAAGAATCATTAACGAGGCAACCAGAAGAGCAAGCTGACTCTAAGGCAGTGGTTCTCAGACGTCAGCGTGCGTTAGGAGGGCTTGGGGAGCACAGATTCCTGATCAGGCATCGGAGTTACTGACTCAATAGACCGGGTGGAGCCTGAGAATATCTGCACTTCTAGCACGTTCCCGGGAGGACGTGACACTGCTGGTCATGGACCACAGGCTGAGAACTAGGGTTCCATGGAATCGGGGGTAACAAAATGCAGTTTCCCTGGGCCGAGGGAACAGAGCGTTCACCACTCAGTGACTACAGCAGTCGTATGGAAAAGGGCTGCCACCTGGCCAGTGTGGAATTTCTGGGCTTGGCAGTAAGTTCTAGGGGCCAGTGGTTGGGGCTGACAGTGTACCTGGTTCTGCCCGTGCTGGGGAAGCCGCAGACTGGGCTTGGCTGCTGCTCTCAGGAAGAACCGCTCTTACCAGCGTGGAGAAGCGCCGTCAGAATGAAGCTGTGGGAAATGGAAGACAGGAAGGAGTCAGTCCGTCC